ACTGGATAAAGCAGAGAGCAGAGCGTCCCTAGGGAAAATTTCAGTGGAACAGCAGAACAGGGGAAAAAGTCGAACGGCAGCCCCTACTTCAAGCTCACCAGCTGTTCCTAGGAAATGCTATACAGGGCTGCTATGGGTTGGAACCAACTTGATGGTACATAAAAACAGTTACCCAAGGTCAAGCCCAGAAGACCACATACGAGTGTTTATAGACAGATGGGCAGACTGGTCATAGCCTGGTTCATGCACTAACACACCTGCTGGTTCCAGCTGTTCTTCTGGGCACACTTGTTGTCTATATTACATTCTACCCAGGGCCCAGTCTATTATTTTCCACGTTACTGGATCCAGACAGAGCAGTCCAAGATGGGGTGGGCCCCTTCTCTGAACCACAGATCCCACTGCTGAGGCTGTGTGGGTCTCAAAGGGTAGGATGGAAGGAGGCCCTCCTTGCACTATAGGACAGACAGCCGCCAGAGGAGAACATTTTCAGCCCAGAGGACCACATCCACATTTAAATATTATATACAAGGCACTTAGCTGGGCCACTAAATCAGATACTGGAGCCAAAACAGGAAATGGACTGTTGATTCTTCACCAGAAAGGCTGAGAGTCTCAGTATGTCTGACACCACACAGCCTCTAGGGGCAGTGTGTAGGCTGTAGACCCCAAGGCTTCTGATTTGAGCCCCAATCTTTCCTCTAGACTAGCCTACTAACTCCCAGACACTTTGGCAGCATTACACTTGACCTTTTACTCCTTTGATCTCTGGGTACCTGAGTTCCCTAGAAAGATGATCCTAGCTCTAGACCCAGTTGTGCCTGTGGTGGGCAAAGCTCCCATAGCCCACTGTGCACCTGTACGATGTGTCCCAGGCCCTCACCTGTTGAGCAGCTGCTGCATGAAGGTGTCTGCGCCCTGGTACATGCCAGTCAGCTGGCTCTGCACCTGTGAGCCTGGAGCTAGTCCCCCAGGCCGTGGCCGGGCTCTGCTGCTCAGATAGGCCTTCTCCTCCTCCAGGGCACGCCGCAGATCTTCTGCCTTAGCCATCAGTTTAGAGATGTTGAGACTCTCGGCCTCCAGCTTTCGGGCTTCTCCCTTGACCTCCTTCCGGAGTGGGGAACCCCCGCTGGCCCCTTCCTTGCTCTTGGTGGTCTCTGTGCGGCGGTTCAGTGCTGGCAACTTGCTCTTCTTAAGGCCAAACCAGCTGGCGATGCTGCTGGTGTTGCGGTGCTTGGCCTCGGTGCCTGGTGCCCGCTCTTGGCCTTGGAGCCGCAGCACATTCTCCTCAATGCCCTTCATCACCTTCTCCTCAATGGCAGAGTGTGGGGCTGGCCCCTCAGGACCCTGGCTTGGGTCAGTAGGACCAGCTGCTGGGGGTGTGGGCTGGTCTGCCCATGGTGGACCCTTACCCTTGTCAGGCTTCAGGGGTTCCTTGTTGGCTGAAGGGGCTCCAGGTCGGGGCACCACCTTGGTGGGTGACTTGGAAGGAAGCTTTGTAGGGCTGCCGTGGGGGCTCTTATTGGGCTTTCCCAGGCTAGGCGCTGAGGTTGGCACTTTGGCAGGGGTACGGGGTACCTGGGGACACAAGGCCCCTGCCAGCCGACTCTTGGCCAGCTCCACTTTGGTGAGGCAGCTCCTTGGTGAGATGGGCTCCAAGTCCACCCGGGCCCCCATGGAGTGGGAAGAGTAGATTCGGGTGCCTGGGTCTCCTAAGAGCCCGGCTTCCTGCTGCTTCAGGCTGCTTGTGCCTAAGGCCACTGCCCCCCGCAGTATTCCCTTAGCTTCTGGCTGCTCAGGAGGCCTGGAGGTGGGAGGTACCATGTCTCCAGTGTTCTCCCCTGACCTCCCTAGTCCCCGGGCCTTCTCAGTGCCAGGCCTGGCCAGCACCCCATTCTTCTCTGTACCCAGAGGTCCCTCAGGGCCAGTCTTCAGTCTCCCCAGGGCTGCCAGTCTGTCCCTCAGAGGTGTGTAGCCAGGATCTCCAGGTCGCCGCCCTGCCCCTTGACTGGATTTCTTAGATGAGTTGCCTGGGGTCCTACGGCCAGGATGGGGAGACTCCGAACCTGCCTTGTCTGAACACTTCTCTTGGGGGCTCCCATAGGGGCAGGATTCTGGCAGGCAAGGGCTAGTGGGGGCACCAGGGCTTCTGAGGACCTCAGTGGCCCGTGGCACCTCCAAAGTCAGTTGTGGATAGGTGGGTACTTGCAGTGGGGAAGGAGGGGGCTCTGGGGAAGGTCCCCTGAAGGAGCCTCGAGAAAGGTCCAGGATATTCTCATAGCAGGGGGACATCGCTGGTCCTGGAGACAGCGTGGTGGACAATGTGGGCTGGGGGGCTCTTAGTTGGGAAGAGTCTGGGGTTGAGGGGCAGGGTGAAGGGTTGGGGGACAGGCCCTGTGCCCCCTCAGGGGATAGCTCACCTACCCCCAAACCCCGGCGGGCTAGCAGTGGGGAGGGGCTCCCATCTGAGCCACCATTCCGACAGGGGATTCGGGAATTCCGGGGGAGCTGGGGACTGAGCTGGGGGCCGCCTGGGCTGGGGATCTTCTCCGAGGCTGGAGGCAGCTTTAGGAACTTGAGACCTCTGGCTGGAGAGGGTAGAAGGGGTCCCTGCGCTTCTCCAGGAGAAGTGGGGCCAATTTGGAGCTTGCTTTTCACCTGAGATGAGGAGTGGGGGTGGCCAGGCCTTGAGCCCAGGGGGGCATCCCCTGCACCCATGAACATGCTGAGGAAGGGGAGGGGTCCCTGGCCCTCTGAGGTAGCACCAAAGCCTGGCCTGTGGGCCTCTGGGGTTCCTCCACCCCAAGCTGACTTAAGGAGGCCTTTGGACTTGGACGGCTGTGAGGGTACCTGGTCTGGGGAGGATGGCTGCCCAGGACCAGGGTGGTCCCCATTGAGTGGGCCTGCTGCCCCTGCCAGGAAGGCCTGCAGGTAAGACTCCGTGTCTTCAAGGAGCTGGCCCAGGTTTAACTGTTTGCGGGCCAGGGCACCGAGCAGGGTGTCAGGGCTGGATGCCTCATTGGTGTCACCTGCCTCATCAGAAGAGGAGGAAGAGCTGCTGCCTGGGGCACAGTGTGGGCCAGAGCTGGTGCCCTGTGCCTGGGGGGGACCCCTACCAGGGCCCCAGGGCCGCCCAGTACCCTCCTCCTCTCCCGGGGCCCCCAGAGGATGCTCCCAGTGCAGCAGGCCTCCAAGACTACCAGGGCCAAGCAGCAGATAGGGGGCCCAGGATGAGGGTTCGCCGTTGATGGGCTCTGGGGAGCCAGGACTCTCTTCTGGAGGCCGCCAGGGGGTGGCAGGAGAGCACAGAAGCAAGGGGTCCGTCTCCTCCAGGGCTCTTAGTACTTCCAGAATCTGGGCTTTCTTCCGAAGGAACGGGGAGAGGGCATCCAGTGCTGGGGATGGAGTGGCAGGGGGTCCTGGGCCTCCTGGTCGCAGCTGCTGTTCCCAACACACCTTGGAGGAGATGGGGTGAGAAGAGGGTCCCGGTGTAGCTGGGCAGAACGGAGCATGCTGGGTGCAGAGTTGGCTTGCTGGTGTGTGTGTTCCCAGAACAACTGACAGAGACTTACATACAGCTAGCGGCTCAGAGTTCTCACTGGGTACTGAGCCCTGCTCACCCCACCTCCCTTTTCCTGGTTGTCCCTGCTCTCCCCTTGGCTGTTTGGGTCAGCAGGGTTGACCACCTACTACTCTGATCTCTATATTTGTCTCAGGGGAAGAAGACCCCAGAAAGAATACAGACACTTAACAAGGAGTGTGGCATGGAATTGCTACAAGCCAGCCCAGGCTGCACCAGGTCAGCTGGCCACCCCTGCTGACCTGATTCCTGGTAGGAGGCGGGGGCTGGGGGCAACTCCATATAAACCCTTTCCCACTCTTTCCTAGCCCCCTCTTGGGCTTAGTATAGTATGGCATCGTGGTTAACTACTTGGGTCCTGGAGCCATACTGTGTGGGTTCAAGTTCCAGCTCTACCCTTTAATTATCTATCTGCTGTTTAACACTGCACTTCATTTTGTCATCAGCAAAATGCTATGGTGATTGTGTTTGTTCTTGATGCTGTCCTGTCAATTCCGACTCATAGTGACCCTGACCCTGCAGGACAGAGTAGAACTGTCCCCTAGGGTTCCAAGGCTGTAATCCTTATGGAAGCAGACAGTCACATTCTGCCTTGGAGCATCTGGTGGATTCAACCTGCCAACCTTTTGATTATCGGCTGAGCATTTAACCACTGTGTCACCAGGGCTCCTGAGTACTTAATCTCGTAACATAAGGTTGATGAAATCTACGGTATTCAGCACAGAGCCTGACACGGAATGAGGGCTCAGTTCATTGTTAGCTAGTACCCCTAATGTACTAATGCTTCATCTGCCGCAGGGCAGGATAAGGTGGGGATCTACTGTTCTTGGTATGGGGCTAGAGTAGACAGCTCACACCTCCAGCCAGGACAAGCATCTGTGCACCAGCAGGCAATTCGTCTCCTGACACCCGTTAGGAAACAGCAATGAGTACAGGTCGACTGGTGCAGCTGGTGAAGCCAGATATCCCTGTGCCCAGTGCTCCTACCTCTCTCTGTCCAGCACAGTGCCCCATAGGCAGGGAGGAGGCTGGTCCCTCAGTGGAACTCAAGGATGGGGAGGCTGGTGGCTCCGATGGTGGCTGGAGTGGGGTAAGTGGGATCTGCAGAGTGAAGTGAGAGGCGGAATTGGTACAACCACTGTCTGGTCCCAGTGTCCTGCTCCCCCGCTAAGCCTGGCCCACGGTAAGGCTCCTGCTACTGTCTCCACTAACTCCTAAGAGAAGCCTCAGAAGACCAGGTAGATTTGAAGCCACTGCAAGGCCCAGCTGCTGGGACAGTGGGCCCAGTCAGGGCACCTTGGAAAAAAGAAGTGCCCCTGGGCCTGGGGGGCAGTGGGCAGGTTCAGCCCTGGGTGCCCATCTCAGATGCAGGACCAAAAGGCTGAAAAAGTTCCAACCCATCCAGCAGCTCTACAGGAGAAAAACTTGACCACTGCTTCTGTGAAGATGATAGCCAAGAAAAACCTGTGTGGCACTTCTACTCGATGACACCCACCAATGTGAAAGCCCCTCCTGTTCTGATTTCTGGGTCACAGGGTGGCTGCAGCCGATAGGAGAGGCATTTGCTATCAGGCCTTGGACATGTTTGAGGTTGTTGTTGTTGTTGTTAAGTGCCGTCGAGTCGGTTCCGACCCATAGCGACCCTGTACAGGTTTTCCGAGGGTGTAAATCTTTACGGGAGTAGAAAGCCTCATCTTTCTCCCGCGGAGCGGCTGGTAGTTTCGAACCGCTGACCTTAAGGTTCGCAGCCCGATTCGTAACCTTAAGGTCAGCGGTTCGAAACTACCAGCCACTCCGCGGGAGAAAGATGAGGCTTTCTACTCCCGTAAAGATTTACACCCTCGGAAACCCTGTACAGGGTCGCTATGGGTCGGAACCGACTCGATGGCACTTAACAACAACCTCAAACATGTCCAAGGCCTGATAGCAAATGCCTCTCCTATCGGCTGCAGCCCATGTTTGAGGTAGCAGGGAATAATTCTCATTTTAGTCTGCCCTGTTGGTCTCATGTGAAACATCTACTCTGAGGATAACCGAGGTAGTCCTTCATCATGGGCCACTTCTCTCTCAATTCCTAAGAATGTAATTTCCTTCTTCCAGGCGTCTTGGCTAGAGATGAGTCAGCTTGAGCTCTTCCCTCTCCTTTATTCTCTAGTCATTAAAGTCTCTCTCAGCAGTGTCTTGCTCCCCCGTTCCTCTGCAGCCTGCCCCCCTTCAGTCCACACCCTGTCTCTCTCTGTGGCTGCTGCTCAGTCTCCCTTATCTGGGATGCAGTGATCCCTTCACTCTACCGTGCTCATGGCAGCCCAAAGCGTCTTTGTGCTCAATCTCCCATGCCTGGCCACAGCCCATGGAAACCAGTCTGGACTCTTCCACTGGCACTCCTGGTGCTACTGGTCCTTCTCCTGTTTTGAGTTCTGTCTTTCTCTTCATGAATTCTTCGCTTCAGCCAAGCAGAACAGCTTTCCTGCCCTGAGATCTCTGCTGATGCTGTTTCTCTCACTGAGAATCCATTCTTCCCCAACTTAACAACAACAAAAAATCATCCTTCTTTGAAGGCCCAGGTCCAATGTTATCTCTTTAAAGGAGCCTCCCTAAGACTTCTGAAAACCACATCAGCTTCAACATGGTGATGACCAAGAAACCAGTAGCTTTGGCCACAAGTTGTAAACAACCAGCAACAAGCAAGGCAGGGAATAAGAGAAAGGTCCCCTGTTGTGCCAAATCAAGAGTCAGTGTTAAGGTGCCAAAGACAACCAAAGTGGTGAAAAGATCCCGTCTACCGAGTATGAGGAGAAGAGCACCCCCCAAAGCTTCTGCCAGCCCAAATATGCCTAAGAAAGGAAAAGAGCCAACTCTAGTTGGCCAGTATCTTAGATTTAAAAATAAAGCTGAGCAAAATGATTCGTTTGTGGACCAAGAGTTCCTGGAGAGATCCTCCACATCAAGTAATACCCTGCACAAATAACCCCTGGTGAAGTACACCATGTCTTCATAGCCCTGCACCAAGAGTTTCTGGAGAGATCGGCCACTTCAAGTAATGCCCTGGGGAGTCAGTAACTCCAGAGCAAGACAGAGACCTGAAAACTCTCTGGGGAACATCCAAAGGTCTGTATGCTGAGAAGTTACCACTGAACTAGAGATTGAAGCTTGTATCAAGAAGGCATACCAACGGTGATGATTCAAATAAAACAACTTTTGAATAGTTTAAAAAAAAAAAGGAGCCTTCCTGAATCCTTCCCAGACTACTGGGCAGTACTTAGCACAGTCTGCTTTATAGCATGGCTGTCCATACACCTGTCTTAGCTTCTGGCTGCCCCAGCCTTCAGGGGTTAGAGTCACTCGGCACAGACGCAGCCCTTAGACAGGGCCTTGAAATTTCAGGTCCTGCTTCAAAGGCACTGCTCACAGCAAGAATTTCATTCGCTTTTGCTCAATGGAGCTTCCATCCTAGCTAAGTACAAATTGGGAATACTATTAATAATGATTAATGGATGTCATTTATTGACTGTACTGTATGCCAAGCACTATAGATTATCTCATTTAATCCTCAAACATTTTACAATACACCAGTAGGTATTTTTATCCCCATTTATAAGGAAAAAGTCAAAGTTCATATAGCTACCAGAAGCTAAATCAGGCATCCAACCCAAGTTTATCTAAGGCCAGTGGTTCATGCTTTCCATCCTGTTATGTTCTCTCTAGGGAAGATAAATCCACTTGCTAAAATCCCAAGTGTTCCCAGGATTTAAGTAAAACATAAATGAAGTTAATGGTTCTCTTTAGCTCTGTTATCATCAGTCACAGAGAAGGGCATGGATGGGAAGGGTGGGGTGGGCCTCTGGGATGCCAGGGTGAACCTGGCAGCAGGTGGAGCTGAGGACAGGAAAGTTGCAGCATCATTGCCGCTGATTCAGACCCAGCTCTGAGCTGGCCTGGCTAAAGGGGTGAGAGGCTGTTATTGCGAGGCACCCAGGGCTTCCCAGTGAATGAAGGGGTTTTGCAGTCAGACAACACAGACAGACAGACACATGCAGAGAAGGAATTTCCTTCTTGTTACAGAGATGACCTCAGAAAGAACCTGCTGTTTACCTCAGGTAGCTAGAGCTGCTCCTGGCTCTTCTACCCCCATGTCTCACCCTATTCTTAGGGATTCTTGACAGAGTAACCCCAGGTGATATCTCAACTCAGCCCAGAATTCAGGCCCAGTAGTCGCCTGTTTCTCCCAGGTTAGGCAGGTGTTGGAGCTGGAAGCAGAGCGCAGTGTCTGTGACATGCCTGTGTGTCCCCAGGTGAGTGGATGTAACTGTGTGTACAGAGATCTAGTGTCCTGACCACTCTCCTGGGCTGTCTTACACTCGGCTCACCCTCTGACCTTGGCCAAGAAACAGCAACATCATTGGCCAGAGCTTGAAGTAACTGCATTTGCAGCCTCCACCCCTCTCCCCACATAGGACAGGAACAAGCACATGCTTTTCTGTACACAAGAAGGAATGTCATCCAGTTGGATGGGGAGCACCTGGGATATGGGAGACAGTGAAGCTTGAGGTGGCCCAGGTAGATTTTGCCCTAGCAGTTCGAAACTACCAGCTGTTTTGAGGGAGAAAGATGAGGCTTTCTGCTCCCGTAAAGATTTACAGCTTTGGAAACCCTGTACAGGGTAGCTGTGAGTCTGAACTGACTCCATGGCACATAATAATAACAACAACAACAACAACAAGGCTCCCATTAACGGGCTAGGTTGATTTTCCAGGGCAGCGATAACCCCCAGAATGAATGAAGGATGGCCGACAGCTTTTTCCTTTTGCATGTGCTTGTGGGAAAAGAGGGTAGTGGTGATGATGGGTTGGGGAATGAGGAAGAGGGACAGAAAAGTCCATTTGCCCACCTGAGGAATGGAGCCTGTTGTGAGCTGGAGTTTCTGCTGAAACAGGGCACTTAGCATCTGGTTCTGCCGCTCCAGGTCGAACACCCTCTTCTTCAGCTTGATGCACTCCTCCCGTAGGTCCTGCCCAACCCAGAAGGAGGCGGGAGAGATGGACAGGGACAGGGAGAAGGACAGGGGTTGAGCACAGTCCTCACCAGAACGGTGGGCACTGCTGGAGTCAGCTTGAGGCCCCGGGATTCCTGCTGGGTCTGCCTTTCTCCCACGTTCTACTATGAAGTATTGGGCTGCCTATGCTCCTATCTGGAGTCCTGGTGTGATGCTGTAGGGTAAGCACTGGACTGCAACTTCAAGGTCGGTGGTTCAAACCCACCAGCCACTCCCTGGAAATCCTATACAGGGTCACTGTGAGTCAGAACCGACTCACCAGCACTTAACACCAACAACACTTGTAGTTATAGCTGCTTCTGGAGAGGATGAATTCCCTGTTTACTACTCGTGGTGGGAGGTATATCCCATTCCTTTGGTACCTTTCCCATCTCTACAACTAATCTTCTGCCTCTTAGAAACCACACATCAAAGAAGAGCCCACATAGGACAGAAGAAGGTCTGGGGGTCAGAGTGGCCCAAGAAGTTACCCCCCATAGTACTTGGCAAATATTTAGGGGTCATCTTTGGCTAACAGCATCAACTCTGATTTCAGGGACTTTATAATCCAGTGAAACCAGCTGGAGCCAGGGTAAGGGAAGGATTCAAAGCCCAACCAAAGCTTCAAAAAGACCTGGCTTTAACCTATATCCACCCAGGCCTCTAGGTGGAAGAATATGTGAGGAGGCAATAAACCATCTCTACCACACCCTCTCCTCTAACCTCTATCCAGGGTGTAGCTGAACCGACTCCTAGCCTTGGGAGTAACCTTCCCCTCCCCCTAGGGCATCATGGTTTGGGGGTGAGAATCTCTCTTTTGAATACTCACCTTCTGGTTTAGCAGTGCCTGTACCACATGGTTGGCAACCTGGGGACAAAAAGCCCAAGTCAGAGCTGTCAGCTGGCCTGAGCTCGGTCTGGAATAGACAAGCTACGTCCCTTCCACACCAGCCCCACTGCAGACCCACAGACCTCATCCAGACAGCGCTCATAGGTCTCCCGCTGGTTCTCGTTGGCCTGGGCAAGTGCCGAGTTCTCTGCCTGCAGGTGAGAGGGAAGAAAAGGGCAAAAGGGAGGCTCTGGGGATCCTCATTTCCTCAGAGTAACTTCCTTTTGGGGACAGAGAGATAGGAGCTCACTAGTTACAGCCCTACCCCAGTCTTAGCTCTGGTTGGGTGTTGATACGCGAAGGCTGTACACACAGGCCATAGGCATCAAGATAGCAAAGCTCTGGTGGGCGGGTTTTCTGTGAATCCTGACTGAAGCCAGGGAGGGTCACCAGGAAGAACTGAGGTGGAAGTGCCAAGGGAAACCCTTATTTCCCTGCAGGATGGGCAGAAAGGATTGGAATGAGCAGGGTATGGTCTTAATAATGGGGCAAGAAGCCAGGTATGAGGAGCTGTCTCTGTCTCTCCACTCCTAAGCCCCAAGTTACCCAACTCTTTTCTCCTGTGGCATCTATGCTCCCCTCTTTCCCCACCCCAGAGCCAGTAAGGACAAGAATGTGGAGAGAAGAGGATAAAGACGGGAGAAATTCAGGGGCTGGGCATTACCACCCCTGTGCATGCCTGACAAGGGCTTCTCAAGGGAATGTCAGCTCTGCTCCAGCTGGCAAACGGGGCTGCAAGGAAGGTCCACTGCCCCCACAACCACCCATACAAACCACCCGCCTGAGGCCCACCTCCAGCTCCCGAAGCCGGTGCAGAAGCTCCTGGCAGCTGCCTGGCTCCATGCTGCCGCCATCACCACTTTCTCCTGGCCTGGGGTTTCCAGGACCCCCAGCCTGCTGATCCATGGTCTCCGACATCAGGTCCTGGGGCAAGTGAGAGAAGCCTGAGCAGGCTACTCCAGGGCAGGAGGAGGAGGTGGGGACAAGGGAGACAAAGATAAAGTTCATCAGTATTCTTGGAGTATAGATGAGGGTGACCCGCATGGCATATACACTGTAACAACTGAGTCTGGCTGGGAATCTCCTGCTCATGGGACACACAGAAGCTCTTCTCATCTCAAGAACAAAGACCATTGTTTTGTAAGCACTACACTTGCACATGGAGTGCCAGGGTGGTGGGAATGGCTCACTCACTTTGCTGCTAACTAAAAGGTTAGAAGTTCGACTCCCCTAGCAGTGCCTCAGAAGAATGATCTGGTGATCTACTTCCAAACAAAGCAGCAGTGAAAACCCTAGGAGCACAGCACTACTCTGACACACACAGGGTTGTTGCCAGAAGTTGGCAGTGGCAACTGGTTTGGTCCACTTGCACATATCCCATCACATACCCCGTCACAAAGCCAGGAGAGGAGAGACCTGAATTCTCAGCTGGGATTGACCCTGATCTGGCAAGTCAGTTAAATCCCCATGTGTCAGTAACAACAGTATCACTGAATCTCCCTCAGCGGCTACAAATAAAGACTAGATCTGTGAAAGTCATCTGAGGAAGTTACAAAGTAAAACAAAACAAACATTATTCATAACAGTAACAATAATAATACATTAAAAAATTCCTGAAACAAACTTCCCAGGTAAAATAGCTAGGATAGCTCAGCAGGCTCCCCTGTCTAGGGCAGGGGCATAGGTAGTGTGTAGCTAAGACCCAAAGGCTCTATGAGCATGTGAGCAGGGTGACCACAGGGAAACTTGCTCTTGATCATTCATTTACTCTGTAAACTGGTGCTCAGTTTCCTAATTCTGAGAAATGAACAGAATTCTTTCTTCCTTATAGGGTCTTTGTGAGAGTCAAACATGATCCCAGATGGGAAACCATTTGGAAAACTGGTCTACAGAGGTGGTACTGGTATTACTCGGGCATCTGTGATGAAGCGATCTAAGGTTGGGAACTGGTAACCTGAGTTCTGGCCCTAGTTCTGCTGCTCATTGACTATGTGTAACTCAGGCCCTTCTGCTTACTGGGCTACATATAGTCTCCCTAGGGTTACAGTCAGAGGTGGCCTGCTCCCCTCTAAGGCACCTCCTTTCCAGCTCCAGCTGCCCCAGGCACCGTGTCTGGGAGTAGGGGCGGGAGGGGAGGAACGAAGGCTCCAGTGAATCAGAACCAGCTTCTTTGTGCATGATGTTCCTCCTACAGCAGTCTCCTGACACTCCCCTTTCCACTGCACTAGCTCACGTTCAGTCTTCAGGGTTTCTCCTCTAAGTCCAGGGTAGGCGCCTCTCCTGCTTGCTTCTGTAACCGTTTCCCTCACTAGACTGTCAACTCCATGAGGACAAGGGCATTGTTTTCACTCACTGATATCACTGGTTGATATCTGGCAGGAGTATAGGAGGCAGACTGCTAGGTAGACAAACTAGTTTGAGAAACAAAAATCACCACACACGCACACACAGCGTTGTGACTATGTGACCTCTCGGAAATGCACTAAACTGTTGCCTTAGTTACTGGTGTAATCTGGCTAGCCTCATCTTCCATCTGAATTTGAGTTTCAATTTCTCTGCTATAAGCCAAGCACTGGCTTCCTTCTGCACAAGTATTGCGGAGGTTCCCAGAAGGTGAGAAACCTTCCTTATTATAAAAGGGTGGAAGCCTCAGTCTACCAGTGCCTGTTCCCCTCTGTACAAAAGTGGCTTAGAGCTTTGAGACTAAGGAAGAGGGGTCCCTAAGCAGCTCACCAGCTAGGACATTGAATACACCTTACTCTGTCATCCACAGTGGGGCATAGGAGATACCTCTCTACACCCCGCCCCATCCTTCTTTGGTTCCTACCATCTGGAAGCAGGCCCTTACCTGTCTCAGGCTCCTACACTCACTCTCGCAGCCAGAACGGTCACCTTGCCTGTGGCAAAACAGGAGAGACAATTTCAGTCATGTATTCCTCAAACATATTGAGTTCCTGCTATGTGCCAGGCACTGGGACACTAGGGGATGAGGGCAGACAAAGCCCTGTCCTTACCAAGCGTCTATGAAGAAGGTGGACAACACCCAGACAAACCAGTGGCTGTATAATGCTAGGTCATGATAAGGCACTGAAGAGGCGAGTGAAGTCTGGATGATACCTTGGAGTGGGATGTGTATTTCAGGTAGAGCAAACAGCCAGTGCAAAGGCTCCAGCACTAGGCCAGGAACTACTCAGATGATGGATGACAAGAGCAACACATGGGGCTTTGAGGCCCTTCCACATATACCGTCTTCTTTAACCCTCCCAACCACAAGAGAGTTAAGTGGAACTGAGGAACAGGAAGCTACACTGGCAAATACTAAGTGTATCCAGTGTGTTGGAACCTTCTCATACATGACCACATTTCACTCTCCTAGGAGGTCGGGGGTACCAGCAGCAGCAACAGCAGCAACTCATGAGACAATTCCTCTACCTACATCACCCAGCCTCAGTGTACCATCCAAGTTGTACTATACAAATCTCTTACATCTGTGATCTTCTTACAGTGCCGGGTCTCTCGACAGGCAACACCAGGAATTGAAGAGATCTGGGTCAGAATCCAGACTCTTCACTTGATATGGAAGTTTACTGAATCTTTCGGGAACTGATTCCTCACATGTAAAATGGGGATAAGAATCCTTGTTTTTATTGTTAAGTGCTGCTGAGAGGGTTTTTGAGGCTATAAATTTTTACGGGAGCTGAAAGTCCCATCTTTCTCCTATAGTGGGATTTAACCACTGACTCTGAGGTTCGTAGTTCAGTGTTTATCCTACAGAGTCACTGCACTCCCTAAAAACACCTTGTTGTTGTTGTTGTTATGTGCCTTAGCAAATTTAAAAGAATATAAATCACACTAGGAGCTCTGGTAGCGTAGTGGTTACGAATCGGGCTGCGAATCTTAAGGCCAGCAGTTCGAAACTACCAGCTGCTCCGCGGGAGAAAGATGAGGCTTTCTACTCCCGTAAAGATTTACACCCTCGGAAACCCTGTACAGGGTCGCTATGGGTCGGACCCGACTCGACGGCACTTAACAACAACAACAACAAGTACATTCTCAGGCTTTGGTGGAACTAAATTAGAAGTTACTATCAGAAAGATAGCTAGAAAAATACCAAAATACTTGAAGATTAAACAACACACTTCCAATGAACATGAGTCAAAGAAGTCTCCAGAAAAATTAAAACATTTTGAACAAAATGAAAATGGAAATAAAACTTGTTGAAACTTGTGAGATGCAGAGAAAGAACAGCTTAGTGAAAATTTATAGCATCGAATGCATATATAGCCCAAAGGATTGTTGGAGAATTAACTGAGATAATGCATGTAGAGTATCTGGCCTGGACTAGCAGGCAAATGGAGGACTTATATGTTATCACATGCAGACATGAATGCAGTTGCCATAGAGCCTGCCACCATTCTCACCTGTTCACACACAGGCAGACCTGGGTCCCAGTCCTCTCACCAGGGGTCTTAGCTGTATGGGCACCTGAAGGTCACAGAGAGCAGTGTTCTGGCTCTCCTTGTTCCTCCCCAGCCCACTCCCTGTCAGTTCTCCAGCCCCAGGACCAGCTCAGCCCTCACTCTTCTCAGCCTGATACCCTAGACAGAGAAAGTGGCTGGATATTATTGTTGCTTTTACATATTTTTACATATTTAGTTGTTGTTGAGAACACACACAACAAAGCATACAGAATTCAACAGTTTCTACATGTACCATTTACTGACATTGGTTATATTCTTCAAATTCTTCTCACCTTCCTTTTTGGGGTTCTTCCTCACATGTTAATATTAATTCACTGTGCCATGAGGTTCCTATATAAGCTTTCAAGTTGCTGTTGTCAATTTGATCCCATGTAGATAGTTCTTAAAAAGAGCACAATGCTCAAGGCAAACAGTTTCTACTTGCTAAGCAAAACTATTATTTTTTTCCAGTTACTATACTGTTTATTTTTAATGTTTCTAGTCTTAATCTTCTCAACAATCTCATGAGGTTTTGTTTGTTGTTGTTAAGTGACATTGGTTTTTTTTTTTTTAATGTTTTATTGTAATTTATGTGATAATTTACATGGGAGAACATTAGTTTTACATTCATCCTATCGTATATCATTTCATTGGCATGGTTACAATCCTCTCCATGCATCATCAACCAACCAGAGGGTATACCCTGCAAACCTGCTCCCCAGTTGTCAGCACACAGCCCCTCTCCCTCTCTGGGTCTAAAGTGCCCAACAGCTCCATCTCTCCACATCTCGTCTCTGCCTCCATCTCTGGCATCACTGCTTCTCTGGGTAGGGTCCTGCTCTCCGCTCTTCTACCTTCTTGGTTCCAGGGACCTCTGCTCCTAGACTGCAAAGTCAATCACTCTACTCCTTTTGCTACAAAACGTCTACCTTTACATTTCCAACCCTCATAATCAGTCCTGATAACAATTATTCACTATTGTATCACAAGAGACCTATCTGTATTTCCTTTAATCAGCCCCACCTAGACAGATTGGATACTACTCAGTGGAGAGTCTACCTTCCTCCACACCCTCTGAATCTAGGTTCCCTTTTGAAAGCTTTTAAGCCAGTCACTTCTTGCCTTTGTAACCCCTTCCACTTTGGGTAGCCAATGTCCAAGTTGCCCATCCCTGTCTACTCAGTGTATGGACCGGGTGGGAATGATCCTCGCTATAAAGATTTGTTCCCTCTTTTGAGCTACTGCATCCATAGGTGTAAGTCAAGTTAATCAAATTATATCAGACTACTCTTTTTTTCCTCTTCTTTTTTCTTCTAGTTGAGCTCTGATCATCCAGCCACTGAAGCCAGGTCAAGTGGGTATTATCTGCAAGTGTGGGTGTTCTTGTATATACGCCCTCTCTTATCAGCTGGATGCTTCACTGTCCACTCTAATCCTCTGTAGCTATGTCACTGACTC